GCCGCCTATAGACATCCACAATTGCAGATGCGTTGCCTACTCTTATCCGACGGAGGAGACACACATAAAGAGGATGTTTCCCCTTCCTATGCATCTCCTCTACTGTCAAATCCACTTCCTGTTCCCATCCTCTCCTTATAAGAAAAGGGTGGTAAAGAGAAAGGGACTTAAATTAGGCCTCCGGCACCACACTCATCAGACTGTACACGGAATTGCTTCCACTTCACGCCTGTCTTCTGTGTGGTCGTGGTATTACTGGGGGCGTGCCTGCAGTGCTAACATGTTAAAGCGGGCACTACCACTGTTAACTGCCTATAGCTATATAGCAGCGAATTATTATAAACTACATTAAATTGAGTCTTAAACCATAAACAATCATTCAGTCAAGTGTGCATAGATTATAAACAAATGTCAAAAGTCAATTTTTTTCTTTGTTTTTTTTTCCCAAAGAATTTATGAGCAAAATTTCTTATTAATAATATACCAAAGAGAATTTTTTTTTATTTTCGAATTTAACAAATAAACTAAAAAAATTTAGCGACATTCCAAAAATTCTAAATCACTGAGAATAGGCTATTTATTAGGCTACAGTTAGAGGAAAAATCTTTTTTTTTTTATTAAAAGCACATAAATTGTGCTAGAGAATTATTTAAGAAACTTGGATTGTGAACTGAGAAACAATTTTTTTGATATCTCATAAAAGTGATTTGTTAAGATAACTTGTCTTACTTAAGTTATAAGTGCAAGTAAACTCGCTTTAAACCCTGTTCGCTTATCGACTAATTAACAAACAGCCGATAACCTTTATTTAGTGTCAATTTTACATACGACTAACGAAAATTGAGAGTTTTTAGTTTTGCTAACAAGGATCAAAATTATTTATTCCATCAAGAATTGTAAACTCAAGTCTCAACTTTAGTTAGTCGGCGTCTTCTCTTATAATTATATACATCTTGATATAAACAATATACAAGCAAATTTATTAAAAATATTTCACTAGAAAACTTTTATTGTAGTCCTATTTTACATAAAGAAATGGCAAATTAATTCAACGAAAAACAAATCAAATTAAAAACAACAAACAATAGTTTAAAATATGTCAAATGAGTAAAAATTTAATGTTGATTTCGTCAAATGATTTTTTTTTACATAGTTAATACTAAAGTTGGCAAGTCAGTCAGAAGAGTTTTCTTGTTCCGACGTGCCAAGTTTAAGTGTCAAAAGCCATTACTATGTCAACGTGTTTCTTCTGGGCTTTCATTAAGTATGGGCGCTGTTTCTGGCGATTTCAATAGTTTTCTCATTAAATATGCAATACCCACTATTAGTAAGAGAATGCCGATTGCCTGAAATTGTAAAAATCACAATTGAGAAAGATATACCATTTGTGCAACGTTTTAGCTACGAGACACAATTTTTACTTTCAAATTTCAAATTTAGCTTTAAGAGTCAATTTTAGTTATGAGACAATTTGAACTTTGAGTTTCAATTTTAATTTGAGAATCGATTTTTGTTTTGAGACACTTTGATTTTTGAGACTCAATTTTTACTTTGCTACTCAGTTTTACCTATGAGTCTCATTTAGTTTTGAGACTCAACTTTAGCTTTAATACTGCATTTTAGCTATGTGATTTAATTTTAGTTTTGAGTCTCAATTATGATGACATGAAACACAATTTTAACATTTAGTTTAAATTTTAGCTTTGAAACTCAACTTTTTGAGATTTTTTGAGACTCAATTTCGCTATGTTAATCCATTTTAGTGATAAAATACAATTTATCAAGAGTAAAGTTAGCTATGAGAGTCTTTAGCTGTATTACTGACTGTGATTGGGTAATTGTTTGGTAATTGGACGACGTTACTACGGTGAAGGAAAACATCGTGTTGCCTGCATATCAGCGAGGAGATTCACTATGACTTAATCACCACTTAGGGTAGTCTCGGAGCCCCTCAGTGGGGACTCAGCGGGGGTGTGAGACGGTGAACACTGACCGTAAGTGCGTAGAAGCCGTAGGGCATGCCGTCGCGCAGGTTGAGCGCGAAGCGAGCGAGGCGCGCGTACTCGTCGCTGATGCGCACCTCCTGCCGGAACCAGAACATCGGCACCAGCGTGTCGCCGTCCGGCAGCTGGTTGTTCAGCCTGTCGCACAAGTGTTCACTTTATACCACAGTGGAGTGCAAAAGTGTTTCATTTTATAGTAAAGTGGAGTACAAAAGTGTTTCACTTCATAGTAAAATAGAGTAAAAAAGTGTTTCACTTTATAGAAGCACGCAAAATACGCTAGCCGTGTCGCGGGACCGTAGATTTATTAGAGTACAGTGGGGCACACAAGTGTTTTATTTTCGATAGATAAACACTTGTGTGCTCCACTGTAGTCACTAGAGTATCACTGGATACAGAGTAAAGATCAAACACATCGAAACAGAGGATAAAACATATCGAAAAAAAGCAACTTGAAATCTACAATGGAACATAACTGTCTTGTTTCGAAATAGTAATAAAAGTGTAAAAGACAGTATAGTGCAGTATAGAAATGTTCGAAAAGAACAGTGGAAGATTACAGTTGTGTACAAAAGTGTTCAAAGAATACAGTAGTCCACAAACGTATTTAATAGCAACTTGTACAATGTTGCACAAAAGTGTTAAATGTATGTTATAGATATAGTAGTATCGGAGTAATACTGACGAGATGCCGGGCACCCAGCGCACCAGCAGGTTGATCTGCAGCTGCGCGAACACCTGCAGCGGCATGCCCGTGTACATCTCCAGCGCCAGGCTGAACTTGTACTTGCTGCAACACGGCACATTGTATTAGACACACCAAACAATAGATTTTTCTTACTAGAAAAAGGCAAATCGCTTCAATGCTATTTGATTTGACGATTATGGACTTCCCATTTGGCAGGGGAGCCGTAAAAGTTCCCCATAGATCATGGATTGATAATGACCATACTATTATGGTGCATATGGAGCGTCGCTGGCTTAGGGGTTTGAACACTTGACTACAGTTCTTGGGTTAGAATCCCGCCATGTACTAATGTGATTTTCGATTTTTTTGCCAGCGTGATTGACTAAAGTCTAGTCACCCCGTTATTAAGGTAGGCTCCAATCTAATGTCTATGAATCTAATGAGCTGGAGACGATAGTATTATGATTTTTGAAATCCCTTATGTCTCCACAACCACTACAATTGTATAACATTTCGAATGTAACTCACTCGTTAGGCTCGAGTCCGTCGATCTTGTCCGCGTAGTAGGGGTCGACGCCGAGGAAGTGCGGCAGCGTGACGAAGGCGGGCGAGCCGAAGCGGCACGCGGACACGTTCAGCGCGCCCGCCGGCAGGCAGTCCGCGTCGCGCACCTCGTCGCAGTAGCACGCCTGCACCCACGTACACACTTATACACTCAAATGAGAATCTACCGTTTCATATATAAAGACGTCAAGTAAGTTAAGAGAAACCAAAGAGCAAGGAAAGAGTAACGAAAGAGAAACCAAAGAGTAAGGTAAAAGAAATCAAAGAGTAAGTTAAGAGAAACCAAAGAGTAACGGAAGCGAAATCGAAGGGTAGTAGAGGAGAAATCAAAGAGTAAGTTAAGTGAAAGGGAAGAAAACAAAAGAGTAAAAAAATCACGCATAGAATTCGATTTGGCACATCAAAAAGAATAAGCCATTCGCATGTATTTACGCGTTCATTTATAATAATCATTAAAATTGTCTTACCATGCTAGGATATTTATGTCCATTGTCAAATGTGGAGTCGTTCGTAGAGTACTGCACTCCCTCTATACCGTCCACTGTGAGAGGGCCCACCTTCGATAGGATTATGTATCTGGGGAAAAACAACACAAAATAAATCAAGGGATAAAGCATCAATCGTTTTTGTTGATTGTAGACGTGTGTAAATGAACTATGAAACTTTCCATCGCCACACAAACTACCTAGGCAGCTACAAATTAAACTGATCTGCAGATCATCAATTGAGTTACTCATCGCTCACGTGCAAAGATCAGAAGAGAAGACAACGAGTTCCTCCTGTCCTAGTTCGGGCGCCCACAGCTCGCCCGTGGAGCCGCGCACCTCACCACATTGGTCACGGTACACGGTGCGGTTAGAATTCCTCCACATCTCCACATTACCCAGCTGAGAGAAATCCGCTGTACCCGTGTTCATAACGAACACGCCGTCGAATTCCTTTGACCCGTTGCGCTGGAAATGAGGGAAATAAAACTGTTATTATAACATCCTGGACCCGTAAATCAACAATTGGTGACATCCCACAATTATGTGACGTGGACAGTAGTTTTCACAGAATATATAATTCATTAAGGATCTTAGAATGCTAATCAGATGGTATTAGAACATTCCTAAGACTAGTAAATTAGCTACAGAACACTTCCTATGGTAACGCAACCATGCCACTAATGGCCGGTTTCTCAGCTAGCGTTCGTTAGTGTTTTTGGTTTGACAAATTAATGAAATATATTTCCGAAGTACTTGAATTTCACTCCTTCGGAACATAGGTCTAATATTAATGAATGAGTGAAGATAATATCAAAATGAAAACTTCAGAAACTCAGTATAAGGAAGACAAACTCGGCGACAAATTATATAAATAGATAGTGGTATCGATGTTTTTTTTGTCTATCGACTGGCCTATAAAATAATGCCAGTTAATGTTATTTAAAAATATTTACTTGTATAAATTTAAAATGTTAAATTACTGGTTTCTTTACACTAATAGATTTTAATGTACTACCTGTCAGACTAATCAATATTAGATTACAGGTATTTAAAAAAAATACACCAACTTAAATTATATTTACTTTACTTATGCTCGGTTTCCAAAGTTTCTATTTATTTTATCGTTATATAATGATTCATGTTATGTTGATCTAAGATTCAATAGACTAAAATTGAAGTTAGATAGTTCGGAAAAAAATAATGAAGTTATCTAACTAAAAACACTAACGCATAGTTAATTTCAGCTGAGAAACCGGCCATATACGAGAGTATTTTTAATGATTATAATTGTTCTATCTTAGACCTGGGCACTAGCAGCCTTGGAAGAAAGTCTTCTTATCGATATCGATAAAATTTATATGAGTTTTGTACATCTCCCACCGGGAAGAATCATACAAAGTCGATGTCGATACGATGACTAGTAAATTTTCGTGTTAGGTCCTCTGTATGAGGTATTCGATTGGTATTTTCTCGGTTTATTAACGTCGAGACTTCTCGGATTTCTTTAATAATTACTAGTCTAAAATTTAATACTATAAAGTTTTCGAGCGTGTTAGTGATTTTCCCCGAACATCGCGTGTTACGAAAGGAAAGTAGCGCTGTGGGGGAATTGGAAAAGTAGATTCAACACGGAACGCGACATTATCACACAGTTGAGGACTTTTATTTCCTACCCATTTTTATAATATGCCATCACATCATCGCCAGCTCACTGTACGTCCCCACTGAGAGGCCCGGAGCCTACCCTAAGTTAGAGTGACTAGGCTTTACGCAACAATGCTGTCTCAATGCAGGTTGGTTGACTTCACACATATCTTAGAATTACTTCGCCGATATGTGGAAGCATCACGATATTTTCCTTCACCGTAAGAACGTCGGATGAATTAAGTGCATATGGAATTCGACAAATCGCAAATCACTTTGGTACATGGCGGGATTCGAACTCAGGTCCTGTGGATTACAAGTCAAGTGCTTCTATCAATGAGCTACCGACAGACCAATATGTATTTGATTACTTTGAATTTTGACTTTTTAAAATATAACATCACATTTTGTGACACAACTTATTATCTGTGACGTCCGTATTCAAAATTCAATGCAATTTTAATGCAAATTAATATTCAAAATTTTGGGTTTTCTTTCAACAAAGGCTCTTAATTTACATTTAAATTAACTACCATTTTTCCACAAACTTATATAAACAGGTGATAAAATAAAAACCTAATAAAAAAACGTTCTTACTAGTATTATAAATGCGAAAGTTTAGATGGATGTTTGTGACAGTTTTGTAGCCTCAGTTGCTGAATGGATTTCGATGAAATTTGTCACAGATGTAGACATAGTCTGGAAGAATACATAGGCTGTTTATTAATTTTTTTAATTCCTCGCAAACGTTATGACATGCTAAATATTAACTTGCTTCATCTTATAGTCTTTCGCATTTCTTTAGGAAAAAAATATATCGATATGCAAAACTCACGGTATTTCTTACAAATAACATTCGAAGTAATAAAATCGTATCCATTGACTACAACTGTTTATCTTAACATATCTTTAGCATAAAAAACCTATTTGTATGCAATTCTATTAATAGCTTATGAAGTTTTCGCACGATAATACAAGAGGAATGATAAAAATATAACATTTTTACCCGACATATAAAAAGGGTAATGGTTTTGCGTTTATGTTTGTTTTTATGTAAATTCCATTGTGACGGCATTATTGAACCGATTTCGATAAATGAGGTATCGTTTTATTTGTTTCCTCGGAATTAAAAGTAACAAAGTCTATTATATCAGCACAGAAAATCAACAGAGTTTTTCATCATCAACTTGCCCTTATACCTTACGGAGGCTCAGCACAGTGCTGCTCTTCCATACATCTCTATCGGCCGTTATATCTGAATAAACACCCTTCTTAAGCATATCCTCTTCCACATCCTTTCTTACTTTCATTGGTCTTCCTCTACCTTTGTAGCCATCCATACAGAGCACTTGAGAGTATTAAAAAAAATTGAAAAAATCGAGTTCGAATCTCATGTTTTAAAGAATCTCAATTTTTTTATGTTTTGAGTGCCTCTAATTATTATACTTATTTAGTGTTTTTTTTTAATTAATGCCGGGTTGTTCAATTTAATTTTTTTAATACAATAAACTATTAAAAGATAAAAAACTAAACGACTGAATGCTATCACTAACTAAGATTACCAATACTAACTACAAACAATTATTTTAAATATAAACTAAGTGATTAACAGTGAAATTAATTATACTATAAGTGTTCAGTAACATGCTCTTTTATACTTAAAACCCATACAAATGTGTTTAAATTTGAACAAACCGTGTCTTGGAAAAATATTTTGGACATTTATATGTATGTCAAATTTGCATATAGTTGAATATTGTATGCTGACATTTATGTGTATATAAGTGTATATTTATTTACTGACACATAAATTACTTAAGTGCAAGATATTTTTGCGATAAACTGTATCGAGTATGTTTTTACAGCACTCAATGAGGTCATGTCAATGTGTCTCGGGTTTTATCTACATTTTAGTCTTTTTAGTGTTAAGCAATCATTCGAATCACATCTTTACTATTATAATAAAGCGTAAACACACACTTCTTTGTTGCCTAAGATGTCAGCAATTACTGCATATTTTTGAATAATTCTTTCTTTAATAAAAAGCCCTACACTTACGTCATGCTTTAGGCTATATATGTTCACGCTATTAAATATAGGGGGCAAATATTTTGGATATAAACCTTAATGTGGGAAAAAGACTATAAGTTGCTGCCAACATCAAGAAAGATTGCTGAGGTTGGTCATGTCATTTTGACATTTGCTATTGATAATTTGACAAATGTAAACAATAAAATAAAATTTTCATGATTTCATGCGGATAAAGCCGCACGGGAATAGCTAGTAATGTATATTTGTGATGGATTTAACTTAAAAAAAGACACTAAGACACCTAGGTATTATTAATAATTGCTCTGCCATTTAACGTATCCTTGAGCTAATGTACGCAAGTTATACAATTGGTGAAAGTGACCACGTAATAGCTTGTTGCAAACACGTAATGTAGCGTTAGCATTGCATTAAGTATAATAACATTCAAAGTGTACCGCGGTTCGGAGTATACACACACATAATGGGCCCACATTGGGTAGAGCCGGCAGTCAGCGCTGCGTGTAGCGGCCGTAATATTTGAATCGGTTAATAGCTCTGAATTTAATTTATGATTAACCAATATTTAAAATATAGTCAGATGATTGACGTATTTCAAAACAGATTAATTATACTAATCATACTAATATAATAAATGCGAAATTTTAGATGGATGTTTGTTAGAGTTTGTAGCCTAAACGGCTAAACCGATCTGGACGAAATTTTTAGATGTAGAGCATAGTTTGGAAGAAAACATAGGTTACTTGTTTCTTTTTAATTACACTGGGTCGGAGTCGCGGGCAGACTAGTATTATATTAAAATTAGTGAGTAACACATTATAAAGATTCAAACATTTAAAAACGCCTATCTATTTAAATGAATCACGGATGAGTATTCCATTGTTCTAGTGATCTATTGAACTTTACGGTTTAAGATAAGAACAAATCGATATCAACAAATTGACTGGAATAGAAGAAAATTTATGATTCACGATATCTATCTGTACTAATATAATAAAACGTAAATAGACGCATCAAATATAATGTAGGAATTCCGCTATCACTACATATTTATAAAAAGCCTAACACTGCACGCTGTAGGCTACATATTTTCACGCTATTTAATTTAAGGGTAAATAATTGGTAGAAAATTGACGTGTGTGAAATTGGAAATTATACGGACAAAGCCGCACGGGTACCGCTAGTAGAACATAACTTAGGTTTAATTTTTTTTTAAATATTAGTAGATTTTTGTTAATTTACTATATTTTCTTTAACCATTCCAACTAAGCTCTAGGCTTGTGCTAGGACATGGTTCACGACAATAGTCGAATGGCGGGATTCGAACTCTCGACCGCAAGATCGGTAGTCCGTACCCCAAACCATCAGGCTATTGGCGCTTGAATTGTAAGGTACATAAACTAGGTTTTTTTTTTATAATATAAGATGGCAAACGAGTAAGCGGCCACCTGAGTCTACCGATGTGGAAATCGACCGCTGCCCATAAACATCCGCAATTGCAGATGCGTTGCCTACCCTTGATTGACGGAGGAGTCGTACATAAAGAGGACGTTTCCCCTTCCTATGCGTCTCCTCCACCGTCAAACCCACTTTTCCTTCCCATCCTTTCCACTTAAGAAAAGGGTGGAATAGGGAAAGGGACTAAAATTAGGCTTCCGGCACCACACTCATACGAGACGCGGAATTGCTTCCACTTCACGCCTGTTTTCTGTGTGGTTGTGGTATTAAACCGGGCGAGCCGGCCCATTCGTGCAAAGATGTTAAAGCGGGCTCTACCACTATAATGTAATGAAGTATGTGAAAACTGAATAAAAATTAACTATTTATGCGGTCGTCATACAGTGTGTTTATCAACAGTGGACGTTATCGACGGAAGTTTAAGATATTGGAATCTACAATTGTGTGCATGTTACAATACTTTATTATCAAATGTTAGTCATTTTTAGAAATGAACTAGTAAGCGACCGCTCTTCAATGACAAACGAGAACGGAAACTGACCTATTATTTAAAATTAAATGTTTAAATGTTTATAGAAATATGCTGGTTTTCTTAAAACTGTCATCATCATCATCATCTCCCCTGCCTTATCCTACTCCCGTAGGGTCGACGCACCGGGTTTTCGTTCTCCAAAGCACTCTGCCCTCCGTCATCTCAGTCATCACTCCCTTCATCATGTCACCTTTCACGCAAAACATCCATCTCTTTCTATGTCTACCTCTACCGGTGTACCTCCACATTCATAACTATCGTCGGTCTTGTTACATGCGATTCATCCCTTCTCATAACACTTCTTAAAACTGTCATATAATATATTATTATAATGTAAATCTTACTAATAGTATGCGATGTTTAGATGGATGGATGTTTGTTAGAGTTTTTAGCCTAAACGGCTGAACGGATTTGGATGAATTTTGGTATAGATGTGGAGGATAGTTTGGATAAACATATAGGCTACTCACTTTTGTTCTCTTGAATTCCACGCGGACGGAATCCCGGGTGAAAGCTAGTTTAACTATAATGAAGGAAACATCGTGACGCAACTAACACATAGCTGTGTAGAAATTGCGTTCCGTGCTATCGTTAGCGTGGTTGACTAAGTCAACCCCTATCGTATAGATTGGAATAATTACGTCATCAAACTCACCAGTAATCTAACTAATATTACAAATGTGAATGTTTAGATGGATGGATGGATAGTTAGAAGAGTTTGTAGCCTAAACGACTGAAAGGATTTCGGTGAAATTTGATACAGATGTAGAGGATAGCCTGGAAGAACACATAGGCTACTCACTTTTGTTTTTTTTTTTATTCCACGCGGACGGAGTCGCGAGCAACAGCTAGTGTTTTATATTAGCAATCTACTGTCAATTTATATAATTAGTCAGATTATAAAATGATCACGTTTACAATCTAACGGTGACTTGCATGTATTTGTAAATAGACATGATTTTACCTAAACCTAACGCATAGTAACTTAAACGAATACAGATTATAAGTAATCTAAATATTTATTTTTATCGTAACATTTAATCTACGGTTTATGATACGTTTTGTATTAAGATATGTAAAGCGAATTTGTAATAATTGATAACTACGTGATAGCAAATATATTGAAAAACTGCATTATCATATAAAAAAAATAAATCTCACTCCATAACTTTAATTTTTTTTTATTATTTGTTAGGCTAGCGCTTGACCACGATCCCACCAGAAGGAGGTGACGATGCAGTCGAAAGATGGTACGAGCTAGCTTAATAGGTAGCTGTTTACTCTCCTTTTGAAGGCCCCCACGTCATATTTGGACGGGAAAACTGATGCCGGTAACATGTTCCAATCCTTTGCAGTGCGCACAAGGAACGGTGATACGATGAACGATTAATAGCGTGAAAATATAACCAAAAACGAGTTTTTAGTTTTAAAGAAAGGAATAAATTTTTCAAAAATATGCTGTGAATTCTGACATCCTAAACAAAGTGTATTTACGCTTTACTATAATAGTAAAGACTAGCTGTTCCCGTGCGGCTTCATCCGCATGATTATAAAATATTATTGTTTACAATTGTCAAATGCTCAATTGCAATATCAAAATTACCGTTACTATAATACCTTGCTTCCTTGATGTTGGCAGCAACTTATGGTCTCTTTCCATTAGGGTTTTTATCCAAAATATTTACCCCCTAAGTTTAATAGCGTGAAAATATATAGCCTAAAGCGTGACGTAAGTTTAGGGCTTTTTATTTATTAAAGAATTATTCAAAAATATGCTGTAATTGCTGACATCTTAGGCAACAAAAAGTGTGTGTTTACGCTTTATTATAATAGTATAGATAATAAAATCTAATAACACGCAAATTTAATATTCTACTCGTATTTTGAGATAATCTTTAAAAAGTTTAGGACTAAAATAAAACATACGTGATTGATACATGTTAACCGACTAGTTTTTTCAACGTAGATAAAAATTAAATGGTCTATAGATGGATATCTTGTTTTAGACCAGACTATCTAACTAATTAAATATTTTTAATGCATACTGTTTATTATTATATGCTGTCTGAAATACGTAATAGACAAGGTAATTAATATCCTATAGTAATTTAAAATTCAAAACCTAGCTATTTTCAGTAATTCCGATGGAAATTAACTATTATATAATAAACTATAAATAGACAGAGCGTCGGTGGCTCAGTGGTTTGAAAACTTGACTTGTAATCTACAAGTCTTGGGATCGAATCCCGCCATGTACCAATGTGATTTTCGATTTTTCGAATTTACCGGACGTTCTTACGGTGAAGGAAAACATCATGATGCAACCTGAACATATCGGCGAAGAAATTCAAAGATATGTGTGAAGTCAACCAACCCGCACTTGGCCAGCATGGTTGACTAATGGCCTAGTCACCCCATATTAGGGTAGACTCCGAGCCCCTCGGTGGGGACGTATAGTGAGCTGGTGATTATGCGATGATAATAAACTAGCTGTTGCAGTGCGGCTTCATCCGCATGAAATTATGAAAAATTTATTTTATTGTTTACATTTGTTAAATTTTCAATAGCAAATGTCAAAATGACATGACATGACAAACCTTGGCAATCTTGCTTCCTTTATGTATATTATATTTACATTATAAATATTGTATTGAATGTCGGGCGTCAATCCATTTTTTCACATAATAAAAAAATCGCTTCCCGATGTCTGTCCGTATGTATGCTGGTCTTTAAAACTACGCAACGTTTTTTGATGCAGTATTTCTATACTAAGAAGCTCTCGCTAGACAATTGGATTAAGGGCCCGATAAAAAGGCTGTTATTTAGAAACCGCACGTATAGTGAGGAGGTTCCTGTCTCTGCAGCCCTGACCACTGGTTACTCGAGTTATCGGATTCCGCAGCCAGTGGTGCTCTGGTTTTTTTTTTGAGTTTTATTATATTGTAATATATATTATATAGAGAATAAGAAATAAAGATATATGTGATAAATAGATATATGAATAAAGAGGAATGATTTGTATTTTTGTATGTATTGAAATAACTCAAAAAATACTGGACCGATTACAAAAATTCTTTCACCATAAAAAAACTAATTTATCAGTGAGTAACATAGGCTATGTTTTCTTTATTATTTTATAATTTCATGCGGACAAAGTCGCGAGCAACAGCTATTTTATAGAGTCTAGAGTGACTCAAGAGGAATATTTATATTTATAATTAATGTATGTATGTCGAGAAATACTGGTAATTTTAGTGATATCAATATATTTTCATATCAGCATTGGACCTGTGAAGCCGGAGCGAGTCACTAGTTAAGTAATAAACTTTAATTTTATCAAAAAAATATTTATAGATAGTCGGTACAAAGTACAGTGGACAGTAATTGTAAATTAATCATATGATATCACAGATAATTATTAATGAACACATATTTTCCGCATTTATTATTCATATTTATGAAGCGAATGAGCTAAGTGCCAATAGCTTAATGGTTTGGGGTACGGTATACCGATCTTGCGGTCGAGGGTTCGAATCCCGCCATTCGACTATTGTGAGCCATATAGCACCAAGCCTAGAGCTTAGTAGGATGGGTTAAACGAATTATTAGTAAACTAGCTTTCGCCTGCGACTGTGTTCGCGTGGAAGTAGAAAAAGAAAAAGTGAGTAGCCTACGTGTTCTTCCAGACTATTTTCTACATATATACTAAATTTCATCGAGATCCGTTCAGCCGTTTAGGCTACAAACTCTAACAAACATCTATCCATCCATCTAAACTATCACATTTATAATATTAGTGAAGATTAAAAAAAAATCTACTAACATATTTATATAAAAAAGATACTGAAGACATAGATTGCACCAATTCATTCCACAAACACGATATAAAAGAAAGAATCAAGTAAATCTAGACACTAAACTATACTCGTAGATATAAGAATGATGACTTACCGAATAAAACCATCCAAATCTATCGAAAGGTATTTCAAAGGGCAGGTCTGGGAAGTGCGCTGCGATGTCGAACAAGGGGTCTGTGATGCCGTCGAACAACCAGGAAGACACGTTCGCAGTCAAGAAGAGGTTCTTGTGGTTCATACCCATAAACACGTTGACCGCCACGCGCAAGAACAGCGGCTCGTTACGCATTATGTGACCTACAGTCTGATAAACATAAAAAATGCCAAATTGTATTCCTTTGCCCTTCCAAACTTAGCTTATAAGATATTATCATCAGGCTTTATCCATCCACTGCTGAACATGGTCTTGCCTAATGCCTTCCAAAGAATGACATCCATACCACATTTACCAACTTCTTGACATGCACACCAAGTCGTCGGTCCACCTAGATAGAGGAAGCCCCGCACTTTTGACTCTTTTCTGTAGCCTCCATTATAGAACTTTACTCCCCCACCTGCCGACCCAACAGACCACAACCTTTTAACTTCTAGATGTTGGTAGAGGTATTTTAGCGAAACTTATCAGCTGTTAGCTAGTTTGCCCCCTTTTTTAATTGAAAAATGTAGTTCCCATCTTATTCAAAATGAAGGTATTCTTAACAGCTTACCCTTAATAGTAATACTTTATGATACTCACCGCAATAATAGGGTTAATGCTGGTGATGTTGTCAGAGACGCTACCGTTGGACATGTCAGGCTGGAAGTGCCATACTCGCTTATTGTAGAACGTCACCGTGTTGTTGTCGTTCCAAATTATGTCTTCCTGGTACCAACACACACAACGTTAGTTTACTCCAACACTCAGAGTCGTCCCTTGAGCAATCAGGATAGTTTTCTCTCAATAATTGGAAGACTTCCTAATCATTAAAAGGGACAATCTCGATATCCTAAATACGATTGGTAAATCTTTGATCCTCAAAAAAATATTTTTCAAGATTAGTATTAAGCATAGAATTATGACAGATATTTGACTGTACTCCAAACGCAAAACACCTTAACAGATTCACACCTCATCTTCTGTGGTCGTGTTATTCCACTAGTTAACAAATTTCTCGCACTAGATTGTGGGCGTGTAATATTATTGGGTATCTGGACAACTATGTTTTCAAAGATAAGATAGTGAACATTAGTTTCATTAACAAATTCATGTCATATTATTATCTAAAAAACTAGCTTATAATCGCAACTTCGTTCGCGATATAAAAATATCTTAGTAAGTCGGCGTCTTCCAAACATTCTACATTTATACCAAATTTCATTGAGATACATGAAAGTTCTGGAGATATTTGGGAACAAACCATCCTAACTCAAATTTGTGAACATGCTCTTGAACATACTATTATAATACAAATTTTTGGATGGATATTTGTTACTACGTATGTCTAAAATAGCTTAACAGATTTAGATAAGGACAGATGTAGAACATAGTCTAGATGAACCCATATGCTTACATAATATTTTTTAATACCGCGTGGATGAAGTTAGCAAAAGGTTACAATACCAAGTTAGGAAAAATCTTATGAAAAATAAAGACTCAAAAGACGCAATTTGAAAGTCTAGGTAATACTTTTATTTACTTTCAAGGTTGTCGAGATTATTTTGACTTATAAATTCGATCAGTCTCAATATCAAAAAAGTTGAAAATAAAAAATTAGTATTTTAATATGTATATATTTTTTTGTTTTGAGAAAATACTAAAAAGAATTGATAAGACAAGCTCAAAATTTGAATTAAATTAATACAATTCGGTAAAAATATTTTGAAATACGACAAAATAGCCTATACATTACAAAAAAGCTGTTTAGACGCTTTTTTGCAATAATTTTCAAAATGTATATTAGATTAAATAAAATTAGCATTAAAAACAAATACAGCTTTTAAATAAAAATGCAGACAGATTTAATTTTAATTTTGAATAACCTTGACTAAATTTTCGTCTACGTTTTGTCTACATCAACGCATTGCTTTGCTCGCCCTGCCTTAAACGGGGTTAACCATGTACAATTGCGGAGTTTAGGAATGGTTAAACGAATTATTAGTAAACTAGCTTTCGCCCGCGATTCTGTCCGCGTGGAAATAAAAAAAAACAATTGTACCCTAAACGTTCTTCCAGACTATCTTCTACGTCTATACAAAATTTCATCCAAAGTTCGTGCAGCCATTTGGGCTACAAACTCTAACAAACATCCATCCATCTAAACTTTCCCAATTAATATTAGTACGATTGTATTGATATTTGTTTCGTGTTTCGTTTCAAAATGTTCAAACGATTGTAGCTTGGTGGAACACCGCCAGTTTCCCCGATTGTACAATATAATTGATAATTAAAAAGTGAACTTTTCTCACTTTTAATTAAAAAAAATATAAATATATTGACATATAATCATTGAACCGGACAGTTGCAGATTGATTAAAGTTATCGTTTAAGTGCAAATTGATTTATAACAATATATTTAAATTAATAATATGAAAGTGATGACCCCTACCACCGTATCTCGAATGTTAAACATAACAAGTAACGCAATTATACTTTTATCAATTCAACAAAGTAATTAAACGATGCAAAATACAGTTTCAACTTACACAACATTATAAACTAGCTTTAGCCCGCGAATCCATCCGCATGGAATAATAATAAAACAAAACTAAGTAGCATATGTGTTCTTCGAGACGGTCCTTTACAAATATACCAATTTTTTTCGAAAACCGTTCAGCCGTTTAGGCTACGAACTCTAACAAACATCCATCCATCTAAAATTTCGCATTAATTCTATATGAAAGTTGCTGTAGATGGATGTTTGTTCGAGTTTGTAGCCTAAACGGCTGAACGGTTTTCGATGAAATTTGACATAGATGTAGAGCATAGTCTAGAAGATCATATAGGCTACTTTTTATCTTATATAAGCTTTTTATTATGGTTCCCATGGGATTTTATTTAGCTGAGTAAAGAGAATGTATTTTTTTCTTCTTGTGAGTTTTTGTAAACTGTAGCTTATGTTAAGTCAAAATGTGTAAAACAACGTAACAAAATACATCAGTGGTATTTATTATTACGTTTAAAAACAAACAAAGCATATAAAGACACAATATTTTTTTATCTCTGTCGCAAAAGTAGGGACAATGGACAATGTGGACAGTATCTTAGATATCCGAAATAATCAATTAAAAAATATAATGTAATTGTCTGATATTGTGGCGGCTTCAACGTGCGATGCAATACTCATAATTTTAAGAGTAGTCAGGCGTAAACGGATGCGTGAAGAGGACAACGCAACGCAATTACTCGAGCCGATTTGATATTTGAAATGATGTATACTAGTTATAATGATTGCACTGCTTCACAATATCACTGCTAACAGTTTCAGTGCAAATACCAGAGTTATCACGGGTCGTCCTTATCAAAGTTTTGATAAAATATTCGACAAAAACGTCGGACAATAAATAACAATGTGAGGACGACTTTATGGAAATATCGATGTCACTGAAACTATTTACTAACAGGCGTAATTAAATCTTGCATTTAATTAACTTCTCAGTAAGATTCAAAGAGACAAGGAAAGAACATCTATACAAAGTTTCGCGCAAGTCACTTCAAGTATTACAAGACACAAACTTTACAGTGTTACTGTGTACTTTCGGAGTTATCTTCGAGCTTGTTTACGCCGGTTGTACATACCTACACATTTGTTGTTATTCAAAACTATCTGTTGCCCGTTACTTCGTCCACGCAATATTAAGATAAAAAAAACCCGTCTATGTCAGCTACCCTCCAGTGAAAGTCCGATCGATATCAGCCCAGCCGTTTCAGAAATTACGGAGTTTACAGACAGACATCAAACAGATAGACAATTTTTTTAAATGCGATTTTCGTTATCAGCAACGCACTTACATCATGTTCTCGAAATCCGTAAATTTTCATTTCATATAACAAACAGACACTCCAATTTTATTACATGTATAGATATAGATTGTCTTCTAGCCTATGCAATCTTACCTTTGTATGCTGTTCTCTAAACACGTAGGGCCCCAGCTGCTCGACTTTTAGTGTGACATTCTTCCCAGCGAGGATGTCGTCAACATTTGTTATATTGAACATATAGCATTCCAGGTACATAGGTATCGGAACTTCACGCCATATTGAGAACGAAGTCGATGTTTCTGTCAGCATCATCATCTGTGTAAACAATGTGAAAATAAACAAAAATACTAGTTTTTATTAAACAAACCCGGTAAAACTATATTAATACTTACAGTCGCCTATTTCCATTGGAAGTCGTATGCAGTAGCCCCCTTATAACACGTTTAATGGTTCTGCGTTATAGCAATAACTCGTATAACAAGGTTTTCAACAGAACAGAGCCGTAAATCGCGTTAAAGGGAGATTATTCTTTTATAAATTGTTAAGAATGTTTGCGTTTTAAAGTGTAATTTCCGCGTTATATGGAGGTTCGCAATTCGCGTTATAGAGAGGGACTATAATCACAGACTTATTGAAAATAGCAATGTTTATATCGATATAAAACGTACAATTTTCCAAAATTAATCTATAGACAATAAATGGCACAGTAACATTTGTAAATCCTTTTCAATTCGCATATATGTACATACCCAGAAGGCGTAGTAACCAAAAGTGGGTCTTGGCCTCAGACAGATATAAAAAACTTTGCCCGTCTCAGATAGACGAGTAAATATATAATTATGTATAGAAATATGTAATTACTAAGTTATCATTAAATCTAGATTGGATATCTGAAATGATTCATCATTAAACCAAAAGCAAGGATTTTGCATATTAATGCACACCCACTTTAAATACTTGATAATATTGAACAAGGATAAGTTAATAATCATTTAATGCATCTTTATTAAAAAATTGATAAAAAAAATTGATTCTTACATAATAAAATGCACGCGCTAAAATCGTGAATGAATTTTTTTAAAGTTGATTATAATTTCAAGCGATATTAACATATGAATTATTTGATTTATTTCAAATAGAACATCAACAACTGTTATCACAAATATAATTAACTAGCTGTTCCCTTGCGACTTCATCCGCATGAAATTATGAAAATTTTATTTTATTGTTTACATGTGACAAAATATCAACTGCAAATGTCAAAATCTCATAACAAACCATGGCAACCTTGTTTGCTTGATGTTGGCAGCAACTTATGGTCTCTTTCCCACTCTAGGATTTTTATCTAAAATATTTACCCCCTAAGTTTAATGTCGTGAAAATATATAGCCTAAATCGTGACCTAAGTGTAGGACTTTATATTAAGAAGAGAATAATTAAAAAATATGCTGTCATTACTGACATCTTAGGCAACAAAGATGTGTGTGTTTACGCTTTATTATAATAGTATAGAAGTATAGATATAGATTTTAATATTTGCTGCAAAATTATATATTTTAATAATCTTTAAAATCGTCACAAAATATTATATTACTATATTAATTTTTAGCGTAAAACTGTTATATTTTACATATTTTTTTGTGTAGGCATATTTTATATTATATTTATTTATAGACAGAAAGAAATATCCAAGTGCCGCGGAATTTGCATTTATTAAATTCTGATTTAATTAGAAATAATAATGAATTCCGAACATTTATTAACGAGTTACATTCACACGAATTTACATACATATCTTGCACAAAAAAACATTATTAATGTTCTGTAATATATATCTTTTTTAACATATTTCAATGGAATTTACGAACAAAAAAGCAACAAAAACTCATTTATTTATTTTTATAATACTTCTAATTTTCGAAATTCCATTTTTAACTAAATTAATTATCAAACTTTTAACATAATGATTGTTTTAATGTAAACTGACCTCTACAAATGGACAGGTTACAAGAAATGGTGTTTTGTTCCTATATAATTTCCACCATTTAAGCGCTGACGGCGGTGGTGAAAATTGGAACTAATAAAACAATACAGTCAATTTAAACGACGTAATATCAGCCATTTCCAAGCAAAGATTTATCTATGAAAATGTTTAACGTAAACACGTATTAATCTTTTGTTATTCGGGTAAATATCCAATCTTACAAACCTTTTGCAACTGTGCGAAGAAAATCGTGGGCCAAAAGACCACCATGACGGCTCCGACCACCACGAACACAGCCCCAAAGCCCATCAGGCAGCCACTCTTCACCGCGATTGACACCATCTTGGATTTATCGGAGGTCCTGATAAACAACACATATTATAACCAATTTTTTACATTACACGGTGGCAAACGAGCGAGCGGCCATCTAAAACCGCCGAAATGGAGAAGCGACCGCTGCCCATAGACATCTGCAATTTCAGATGCG